CAGGATGAAAAGGACTTTGATTGTTGGAAAGAGTCATCCTGAACCAGAAGCAGCAACTTGCAAGTACAACATGGCAAGAACAATCAGTCAAGCGCATGTGGTGCATCTGGTCCATCATGCTGACGACAGCACCAGCGCTTCAAATCTGCAGCGTGCCCTGTCAGAGAGCAAGATCCATCACTGACACCCCGAGGGGGCTCTAGGATTAGAAGGACTTTGACTCGCATTCCTCATCATCTTGTGCCTGACCCAGCACAGTTGGTATTTGTCCACACAGGACGGTCCGACACAGGATGCACCCATCAAGTTTTTGCATGCGGTGCATCTGGTCCATCATCAGAAGAACCCCTTCTTTTAGACCCCAAAGTGGCTGCAGGTACCGAGATGCAATTTCTGAAGGCGTTCTCTTTGGACAACATCATTCCATGAAACAAAAACGAGCTCTGTGAACTTATTCAATATATCGTGCGAAGCAAACGATCGCACCCGAAGTCGATCAGCTCGAAGAAAAACGATGCCACGCAGCGGCGGCAAACGGCGCACCCTTTTGCAGGACAAAGTCCCACCCGTCTAGAGGTGGAAACAGTTGCGGTATGCGAACCTGTGAACCTGACTCACCTCAAAAGCAAGCCTTCCAAGTGACATGCAGTCATCTTTACATGGGGGAAAAGGAGCTTGCAGGTGAGTTCGCTACCGAGATCGAGCCTTCGTCATTCAGGCTTCGAGTCTCAAGCCAAGTGCAAATCGCTGTCCTGAGGCTGGTGCCTCCAGAGATTTGGACATGATCGGGCGGCAAAATGCGGCCACTGCACAAGGCACAAGGTTCAAACAAATCTACGTTCCTCCCGTCACGGCCTTCGAGGGAGCTGCATCGAGGATCGATGTGGAGCTTGCGGCCATGCTTTGCCACATAGATTCCACGGTGGAGTGGGCACTCCAGCCTATGGCTGTCCATCTCAGCCAGGCACTGGCGCAGGATCGCGGCGGCACGATCTCTGCCCTCAACCTGCGAGAGACTGGTGTTTCGTCAGTCTGGGTCGCAGCATGGGAGAACATGGCCAAGGCAGGTACGTGAACTTCGGCACGACTCCATCGGCCCAGCATGAAAAAGGTGCCAAGGAGCACACAACACACAGTGCACAGCATCATCATGAAGCTGTCTCCTCCAGCCGGGTTTGCCGATTCTCCAGTGGCGTCAGCAGCGACACCGGGCAGCAGCAGCAGAACCATAGTCCACACCATGAGGTTCTGGAGGATGGCTCGGAACTACCGGGTGGTCATTCAGTACCACAAAGGTCTCTTCAGACACCAGGGCATACTCACAAGCCTCAAGCAGGTAAGAGACTGTGGCATTCGTGACTGCCATGTGGACATATTCAATATGGTTCTCATACTCAGGCATGCCATCGGGGAGGGAGTCATTCTCAGGGAGCTCAGTGCCAGCTGTGGGAAGTGCTTGATGAGGTTCATCCAAAGGTGGTGAACTGAAAGTGCTCTCCTGCAAACTGGCCTTCAACTCATCTTTGGTCTTCTTCTTGGCGGCCTTATACGTTGGGTCCCAGATGAGCTTCAGCTTTCCGTAGCGCAAGCGTTCAGCCAGCAAGCCACGGGCGCTTTCTTTTGTAAGGCCATCAGCCAGTTGCCTCTCAGATGACATCCATCTGAGATTGCCTCCAAGGGCGAGGAGTCTTTCTTTCATCACCTTCACCTCCAGCGAGACTCGCTTGTCCACAACGGAGCTGCTGTAGCCTTCTCGATGAAATGAATCATACAAGGCTTTGGCGTCCGTGATCATCGTTGGTTCCAGGGTGGACTTGCAGTCGAGCAACCCCTTGAGCTTCCGACGGGGGTCAAGCAGGCCATTCCAGTATACACAGACATGCTCCAGGGCGTCGCATGCCTGACCACCTCCTTGGGCTTCAGCACCAAGCGATGACCGAGCGACTCGAGGAGTCTTCTGGCTTCTCCAGTCGAGGATGTGGTATGCCCCTTCAACACCATCAGGACGAAGGAGGGACTTGTTGACCATCAAAATGATATAGCCAAGCTGGGAGCTGCCATCGGTACGAGTGGCGAATGCTGCATCAAAGAAGCAAAGGAGGCGTAAGTCCTGGACTTCGCCAAGGTGTTCATACACCAGCCCTACATCGGAGTTGTCCTTGCTGAACTTCAGGAGCTTGTTGCAATCCATCAAGCCAAGCAATGCTCGAAGTTGTGTCAGGTCACGCTCGGAGATGATCTCATTGACATCACGGCGTTTGTCGATTGTGATGGGCTTGATCTTCTTCATATAGTTGTCCTGTTGTATCTTGTAGCCCTTGTTGTCCGTGAGTTGGATGTCACAGCCACAATACGACAAATCAGCGCCATCTTGTCCAGTTTTCGAAGGTGGTCTTCAGCTTGGAGATCATCGATCCATAGGCCTGGGAATCTTCAGAGCCGCAGCCCAACATGTCATCAACATGCATGATGATCATACCACATAGGCCGCAAGGTCCCAGCAGGTGTGGCTGTTCTTGATCCGCAACGAAGCTCGGATTGAGGTCAGCTTCATATGCCAGGAAACAGCATGGATCCTGAGGATGTTGTTTCAGACCCATGTCCAGCAGCTTGTCCACAGCAGCCATGTACCAGGAACGTGGAGCGTTGATCTGGCCGTAGCAGGGCTTCAGAAGAAGCATCCGAGCGTCGGCAGGGGCTCCCATTCCAGGCATTCAGGAGGTAGCTGCACCCATAGTTTTCTGCTCTGAGGTTTTCCTTGTAGGAAGGCGGTGGCAATGTCTGATGTCCAAACCGGCCATCTCATAGTTGCAGCCAAGCTCAGCAGACAGGAGCGAGAGAGCCGTGTCGTGGTTGGTGATGAAGTGGGCACAGTGCCATCCCAAGCATCTGGGTCCATAAAGCCGCGGACGATGAGCCTTGCCTTTGCTCTTGGTGTTCCGTCCGGGTTCTTCGACCACTTCAGCAACATCCGGCTCGTCAGTGTTCGAGCGGGTTCAGCTTCTCTCACGCTCTCGAAGGTCCAGACCTGGTTCTCGAAGAAGAACTTGAGCTCTTTCACTTTTGCAGCTTTGAATTGAGCTCGCTCATCAGGAGTCATCGTTCTCTCGGTCAGGTTGTTCTTGTCCTTCTTGAACGCCTTTGCATGGCGCTGTTTGGTCATCTTTCCCATTTGACGGGCACCGACCAAAGGTTCCTTCACATACATGGCGAGCTCCTTCCGCACATCACCCTTGATTTGGAACACGGTCACACCTGTCCAGGAAGAGCTCGTGGGAGGTGAAGTGCACGTGCCATCATCTGTGAACTGCTGACAGTGACCATTGGTGGCATAGACCACAGTGACCCTGACATTGTCCAGCTGAGCTGCCGGAAAAGGTGCATCCTTTGGCAGGTGTGCCAAGCTCATCTTCTGCCGACGAGGTACGACATGATGACGAATCATGCACCCAGCACGAACTTCCCAGTAGTCAACGGGATGCTTATCCAATTGGAAGTAGCCTTCTTCAAAGGTCCAGCCACGAGGCAAGCAGTTAGCCACCAGCTCGTTGATCATGAAGTCTTGCGATGCAAGGGCGGCTTCCAGCTCTGCATCTGCCGTGGGCGGCGTGGGCTCTGCTGTCGAGGACGGAGGTGCTGTCGGATAAGGATCAATCGCAGGATGTGGTCTGCCTCGCCAAGGACCAAAACTCAGGGTCTCTTGTCGATTGAAGCGATTTCGTCTCTCCTGAAATGTCTCTGCATCAACGGTGTCGTACAGTGCAGCAGTTGCTGGGTCCAGAGCTGGTCGAGGTGGTTGTGCATGATGTCGGCTCAGCACCTGGCTCTGGAATGCTGGGAGGTGGAGAGCGAGACCTTCTTGAAGTCGGTGAGGCTGGCAAGGAATCGGGCACAGGCACTGGTTCAGGGACCTGGGCTTCAGGGATTTCCTGCTCAGCCAGAGGCGGTGCCATGATTCCAGTCGGAGATGTTGGAACATACCCTGAGTGTGCTGGAGAAGTGGGCTCATACTCTTCTGCCTGCAAATCACCATCCATGGGTGGCTGTAGACGAGGTCGATGAGCTGGTGGACCTTGTGTTGAGTCATCGTCCAACGAGCCATGTGGGTCATCCAGCTGTTCATCGTCATCAA